ATCCTGCATGTTTTAGATGTTTCCCTCTTCCAACACACCTGATTCAAATGATCAGCTCATCATCAAGCTCTGCAGAAGCCTGATACCGATCCTGATCATTTGAATCAGGTGTGTTGGAAGAGGGAAACATCTAAAACTTGCAGGATTGCGGCCCTCGAGGACCAGGATTCGACACCCCTGCTGTAGAGTTTAACTTCACTTTTGGAGGCTAACGTCGTTAGCAGCAGCAGGTAAACACAGCAGCAGGTAAATGTGGGCGGGCAGAGAGTCCTCGGCTCTCAGTCAGTCTGACCAATCACTGCTCTCCGGCTCGGCCCTCTTTCACTTTTTAATTTCATCTTTGGCTCTGAAAATTCCTGATGTCTACTGGGAAGTAGCAAAATCCTGGCTTCATTTTCTGAGAAACCAACAGGTGATGTAACGGTAGCTACGTCCATCTTCCTTATACAGTCTATGGTTTTTACACACTCCGACTGTGCTTGCTTTTGAAGCTCGAAGAGCCTCATTTCACTTCAAACACTGTGGTCTTGCTGGAGACTGTGTACTGTATACAGAAGCAGGCTGTACGCACTTAGCCTGATAATCACTTTGGTTTTAAGACAGTCCGACCATGTTGCACCTGATGTCATCTTCCCCAGACAATCACCCACACACATTGTTGACACCATTAAAATAATACCTCTGCAGCCTCTCCAGAGGTAGGTTCCAATGCACGTCTTGTACAAAGGAAAACCTTGTTTCACATGTTGTATTGAGTGCATTGTAAAGCACCAGGAACTGGCTCTTCTGAGCAAAATTCTGCTGTAGTGTGTAGTGTTCTTCTTATGTAGTGTAGAATGGCAGGAAACTGTTACCCCTATAGTACGAGCAGCTTGAAGCCTGTGACACTATTTTGCAGTCAGTGTAAGCAAAACATTAAAAAAATTCCTTATGGATGTTGTCAGCCATCGAGTTGTCTCATCTGAGCAGCCACTTGCAAGCATAAGGCATTGCATCTGTTCTCTGCATCATCAGCTGCTAACACCTCGTTCTGATGCACCTGTCATCTTAACGGTTGCCTCTTGCAGGCGAAGACTTCATCTTTATCTCTTCTTCAGGGCTGCTAGAGTGACAGGGCTTTGTTTTTTGACCTAGACCTGGTTCAAGTTGTCCAATTAAAATAGCACAAAAATATCTCTATTTTCAATTTTTACAACCTGTGAGTCACTGGTTGCTATGGTGATTTCTGCCTTTTCTGTGGCGCAGGGAGGAGGGAGAAAAAGGGAGAGGACACAGAGGCCATTTCTAAATATGCGTACTTGTCTGTACGTGCGTTCTTGCAGACTTGTGAAATGCATCAGTTGGAGTGTGTTCCAGTTCTCTTTGACTTACTGTATTAGCATATTGATCTCAAAAACACACAAAATCTAAAATCTGATTTGTAAGTATATTATTTGTTACAATAAAAAGGAATCATGCTTAGTGAAGCATTATGAATGTTGAAAATGTTTTAGTGTGCACAATAATAGAGAGCTACAACACTGCTTTGCATTTACAGAGTTCCAAATGGTGCAACAAGAAACATCCATCCATCCATTATCTATACATCGCTTAATCCTCACTAGGGTCGTGGGGGACTATAGCCCATCCCAGCTGACTTAGGATGAAGGCAGGGGACACCTGCATTTGCTTGATTCATGTGTGACGTTCACAAGGAGACTTTTGTCTCTGCACCAGTCCTCCAGGTGGGTGATCTCCATCAAGTAGTCTTCCTCGTTGTTGCTGGAGATCAGACCCTAAACTTAATGATGATGTTAGAATCTGATGTGGACAGACAGTCATTAGTGTACAGTGAGTACAGCAGAGGGCCCAGCACACAGCCCTGTGGGGCACCAATGTTCAGGGTGCATGAGGGGGACAGGTGATTCCCCACTCGAACCACCTGTGGTCTGCTGGTCAAAAAGCTGTAGATCCACCTGCACAGGGAGGAGGTGAGTCCTGCAGCTTAGTGACCAGTCTGGAGGGGATCATGGTGTTGAACGTTCAACTGAAGTCCACCAATAGCATTCGCACATAATTCTCAATGCATTTAGGTCTGTTAAAAAGAAATATTCAATCTCAAAGTGCTATTTTTAATTGTCTTTTTCTTGCCTTCCTGTGCATGGTACTCCACATTTCTTGGCCTCCTCTTTTCAGTAAAAGTTGCTTGTACTGTAGGACCTTGATGTCCATATTACAATGTGTTGCAAGCCCAAATGAGTTTTTTTTTTGGAGTTTAGTTTACTCACAGACACTACCAGGGGTCTACACTACAAAGCTAATTCAGCCAGGCAGTTCATCTTTTTGTTATCTGGCTGCACTAAGTCTAATAACTGCACTAATGTGAAACAATCACATAAAGCTAGTTATCAACTCGTTTGGTCAACCCCAGGTTTCTATGTGTCAGGTGTAGCTATGAGCACATTCTCATAAAAGTGGTGATGTTGATGCCAGATGACCAAACATGGACAGGCCACACATTTCTCTACTATAACTATAATCAAGCATGAAGAATTTAAAACTGTAATACAGGGTAAAATGACACAACTACTGCAGCCAAGCCTGGAAGGAAAGCTGAAAAAATACCTGGTTTGGCTAATATGCTTATCAGTTTTACTGCCCTTCAGGTAGATCTAACAACTGTTGTAACCTGAAGACCCAGACTTGAACCTGAAGGTACCTCACTAACCTTAAATCCTCTTTTGTAGTACAGGCCTCTGGTGGTTGTTGGAGCACACAAATACACATGGAGGTGGAATTAAATTTCAAATAATCTTAAGTGTCACCCCACTGGAATAATGTTACAAAACAGCTTGATTGTGGAGTCGAGTGTGGAACTGTAACTACAGAGTACGTGTCTGTCTAACCATTGCCCTTTCCTTCTCTCTGTGTGTTTTTCTCAGGTGGCTTATTCCCCAGGGGTGCAGATCAGGAGTATAGTGCATTCAGAGTTGGCATGGTTCAGTTTGGGATGGCAGATTTCAGACTGACTCCACATATAGATAACCTGGAGGTGGCCAACAGCTTTGCTGTTACTAACTGCTGTAAGTATTGTTTTTTTGTCTTATTCCCAACAGTGTGAAAAAATAGTGTCAAATTTCTTCTTCTAAATTCCATTCCTTTGTTTACTGGGCTCATCAGTATCTGTTGCTCTTCTTTACAACAGCTGGGCTGCTATGTGCAGAATTTCACTGAATAGGAACATTTGTGTGAATGTGAAAGTGTGTGGATTTACTGTTAAGTGACATGAGGCAGGTAGATCTACTAAGCTCCAGTGCTAATGTTCCTATTATCCGTTTGCAAAACATTAAGCTCATAGCCTCTTGTTTTTAGCAGCTATAGGCCAAAATAAAACTTGTAAGTTAAGTCAGGTTGGTCTGTCCCTACTGGACCCAAGATCATTAATAAGGGAAGACGCGACAACACTATGAAACTGACAGTCACATATCAGAGCATTATATATCTTCTTATTTTAAGGTTGCTTCAATGTACTTTTTCATGCCATTAAGTGACAGGGTTTTAAAACACCATCATTATAATTGAATTATTTAAGTAAATCTTTTTTTTAAATTTTTTTTATTTTTGATCAATTGTAGAGTCTAAATAGTACATTTTCTAAACACGTCTAAAAGTCTGAGATTGTTCTCAGTTATCAGTCTCATAATATCTTTCTGTTAAAGGGATGAATTAATGCTAGAATATGTCCTTCCACAAAGTCAATTTTACACTTGAATAACAAGACAAAACTATTGCACAGTTTTGGAAGAAACGTCTGTACTTTTTATTCAATATTTATATTTGTATGTTCTTTGCTTGCTCACTGCAGGCATAGGCTGAGACATTTTCAGTCACATGGTGCTGGAATCAGTGATATTTAAGTGGGGATGTATAGGGCAATGTTAGATTCAGTCACGTTAATTCTGCAAATGTGAAGCGGAAAGTAGAGGCAAAAGAACTCCATACATGGGGCATGTTTTGTCTTCATCAGAACATGATGTAATGATGGCCCAAGGCTCAAAGCTTTGCTATTTAAGTGCATTGTATTGTAATAGCAGTAAAGCACTGAGTCCTCTTTTTCTGCTGTCTCCTGCTACACATGCATATGATGCACAGATACCATGCTTACCTTATTTACTTTAAACACACAGTTTGATCATTTCAACAGGAAAAACTATTTTTTGTGTAGTTACATGAAATGAGTTGCTAAATATGTGCTTCAGTGTGCAAGTTTTAAATAATGATGACTCATCTAGGGCTGCAAAAGTAGGACAGGCTGGTATGATGATGCCAGTCTGGTGGTATACACCAAATTTTTTGTCCCATGCACGAGTGCATTTTGTGCAATCAGCTGCTTGCCAACAGATAGCTGTGCTTGTGTTCCATATAGTAATGTACGACACCGACTATATTTGCTATATTTGGTAAAGGCACACCCAGATAAACCTTGAAATCACACACCCGTTATTCATATTTTGCCTGCCTTTTCACCTTCATTGTATGTTTTTCATCCACCTGAAGCAAAAAGAAAATAATAGAAAAAAGCTGAATTGTCTTTATGGCGTTAAAAACTGCAAAACAGAGAAAAAGCTGAGTTATGTTCAATCTGTTGTCTGTAGTTGTATTAAACATGGCTCCTTTTAATTACATTTTACATTAACAGTGTTAAAGTGTTACATTTTAAAATAATTAGACAAGCCAAATTCGATAAAGGCAATACACTGACATAACAGCATATAAAATCGACATTTTAAAGGCACTTTCATAATTTAAATTAAAAAACAGCCCCTATAGTTGTCAAACCTTAGAACCTTCAAATTGGAACCTGGTCCTCCAGATTAAAGCCTTCAGGAACAAGGTTGTGGGTCTTTAAAAAGATATCCAAGTTATTTGAAATAAATCATTAAACTCTGAAGAAAGTAATTTGCAAGTGGCACAGGTTCCAAACAACTTTATTCATGATTGATTTATTCATGATTCATGACACTTATCATTCTGTTGTTTAACAAGTAGAATGTTTAAGCTGCTCACCATTTTATTTATCTTATTAGAATACGACAAAGGTAAACTGAGGCCAGTTACTAGCCATAAACCAAACTATTCAAATTACTTTTTATTCCAGTGTCTGTCACAGATATAATGGTAATTGATCCAATAGCCTATAGCCTTGATAAAAAGATAACACCTTGTTGTCAATTCAGACTAAGCAATGTGACAGTTTACAAGTTACAACAAGCAATACATTATGACGAATTCTGACTTATTGCTAACAGTGGAATTCCTGTGTTACAGTATAGCTGTAAGTACATTGTTTATGGCACAGAGCAGCTGATTTTTATACATTAGATATTTCTACTGTCCTGGTGAAAACTTTGTCACACCTAACATTTCAAATAAAAATAATAATTAGTGACTGAAAATAAGAAAAAGCCCTCTCATTAAAGGACTAAGTTTTAAACCACTTTTTATTTTTTTATTTGACCTTTATTATTATTATTATTATTTTTACCAGGTAAAATGTTTGAGAACCAGTTCTCATTTGCAATCGTGACACCAGCAGGTGTGTTGTTTGTCTTTTTCAGTTCTTCATAGTTTTTAATCACTCTAAAACTTCTACCAGTTTGTACCTAATGAATAAATGCGCTCGTACAGCATATAATGCACATGAGTGTAATATTATACATGGAGAGATAAAATGTGATGTTTTATTTCTAGAGTAAAAAACAAGGTCATTGAAGTAGGACAGCTAAATATAGGAATAGATACAGAGACACATAGATCTTCTGTTCCCAACCTTTCAGTACTAAAACAAGTCTTAGCATTTCAGCAAACACTGGCTATGATAAATATTGAACTAACAGAATAGCCTTGTTTGTTTTGTTTTTTTAACTAACATAAGAGTTTTCAGAGATTTAGGCAAGTTTCTATAAAGCCTAAGAAACTTTGGGTGTGAAAAAAGTAAATGCTAAATGATCTGGACTTTGAAAGCACTTTTCTCTTTCACTGGTACTCAAAGCATTTTACAATGTGAACCCTTCAGACACACATACTCATGCACCGATGGCGGCAGAGCTGCTATGCCGTAAGCTCACCTTCCATTAGGAGCAGCTTCCGGTTCAGTGCCTTGCCCAAGAACACACACAATTTTTTAATTAAATATCTTCACTTAATATTCTGAATTATATTATCATCATTTGGCTCACAGTTTAATGGCATAATTCAGTAAGTTCATGTCTTTGTATGCATTGTCACTTATGACCTAAATATGCCATGACAAATAGATAGCACATATCAATACCTCAAATATCACAATATAAAGTAATTCATGAGTTCCGAACACTGTATCCTGGTGACTTTGAAAATCTTTTGCTCAAAGGCCAGCACAGCACTCTATAGGAACCTCCCACTACCAATGCACCGGTGCATTTCTTATTGGTTATAGTAGAAATCATGTTTTACAAGCTATAAATGTTTTTGAAACATCTGAATTGAGAAACTAAACCTCCTTGTGAAATAAAATTGATTCCCATATGTTGCTTCTTAAAAGTGCGTCGTCTTTATTTTGTGGCTCACATTATTAATGTACCTTTGGCTGTTAAGTCACAGGAACAACAAGTCATTACCGGGAGCCCTGCTTCACCTTCGTACCTCCTTTCATGTATGAATGTCAGTCATTACCCTAATTGAAGTTGGTAGGTGTCTAGACTCTGTACTTTGAAGTAAAACAAAATATCCTACCCAGTGTTCCCTCTAGGATTTTTTTCAGCAGTGTGGGCATGTTCTCCAGGGAGCCGTGGCGGCGTAAACAAATGACACTTGACTGCAGATTTTACTTTTACAACCTAGTTATTGAATGGCCAGTTGAAAATGGCTTTTTAAGGGCTGAATGTGACGTCACGTTCAAAGCCGCGCTCTTGCGAGTAATTAACGTTGTATTAACCTCCCCAAAGAGTAGATACTGAGCAAGATAGTTATCTGTAGTTTACCTTAGTACTCGCGAGTACCCGACCCAGTGCAGGACTCTGCTGTGAAGGTGGAGACGTATTGGTGGTGTATTTGCGACAATAAAAAACAAATAAAAATTGAAAAGAAAAAAGAGAAAGAAAGAAATTTGAAGGAGCGGTGGCTAGGATTTAGGAATGGCGGCCCGCCACTACTTAATGAATGTAGAGGAAACACTGCTGCCATAGCTACACAGATGACACTGATGGACCAGTAGCTCCAGGTTAGTATGGTACCATAAAAAGTGACTAATGAAGGACTACACGTGTGAAAACTCTTCCCATTTAAAGAAAGATATAACTAAAGTAACTGTTTGTGCCAAAGAATAACAATTGAAAATATATTCTCTGGTTCAGTTACTAACTTTAAAGACTACTAAACACAACAGGATTCTTAGCGTCATGTCCACTCAGGCATTTATAAAGCACATTTAAAAACAGCAAATGTTGACCATAGTCACCTATGAGATTTCACTGATGACAAATAAAATCAAAGCCATAGTAAGTATAAGTAACTATTAATAGCAAAAATTATTTAGATAAAAATCATAGAAAGTGGGCTGACTGACTGGTGGAGAGTCTTACCTCTGAGCTGGAGGAGAGTGTGGTTGAACAGGGTAGTCTTCGATATAGAACACATTTTCCCTGAGAATTTGCATGGAGGGGCAGTGAGTTCAAATGGCCCTGGACACAGAGGCAGAAGTTAGTGGAAAGAACCAAAACTGGAATAAGCAACACAAGGGGGAATGAGCCAGTACACATAATTAGCAGACAGTCTTGCAAGGAATGACGGGAGAAGTGGTGCTTTTATATCCAGGAGGGTTATAAGAGCATCAGGATCAGGTGCCTGATGGCTGGGAGTTTATCGGCTTGTTGCACTGCGCCTTGCCTGGAAAGTGGACAATAACAGGTGGCAGCAGCAGGGTGTGGGGTTACATGTTGACTAAGATATAAGTTTATCTCAAACGTCATAATGTTGAGTCAACATCTAAACCAATCAGCTGTTAGATCAGGTGAGAGTCATCATTTCTCAAGATTTACCCAAATCTTGCCTCCCGTGGTTGAGTCTTATCCTTTTTGTTTGTCTTGTCTATCTTTGAAAATTTTTACTAAAATCTTTCTCTCTCTCTTTTTATAGTTTGTTCCCAGTTCTCTCGGGGTGTCTATGCCATTTTTGGCTTCTATGACAAGAAGTCGGTCAACACCATCACCTCCTTTTGTGAGACTCTTCATGTCTCCTTCATCACACCTTCGTTCCCAGCCGAAGGAATGAATCAGTTTGTTCTCCAAATGAGGCCGGACATCAAGGGGCCACTCGTTTCATTAGTGGAGTACTACAAATGGGATAAGTTTGCCTATCTCTACGACAGTGACAGAGGTAAGGAAATTCACATTATTTGTCACATATATGTAACTGCTCTATGCTTTGAACATAACTTCCCTTTATTTTGGTGACGGGTTTTACTTATGAGGTAAACAACCTGTGGAATTTGAAAGCTTTGTTTGTAAATGAACATATTTGGGCAATTACTTTTTCTATATTCACCGACACTGATAAAGCTTTGATATAACACGTAATAAAGCTGCAGTAGGCATTTGAAAATATAGCCCTCCTCCTACTTTCTGTCAAAAGCCCTTCCCACCACGCAAGCATAGGAATATAGACACACTTAAAATGCCCCAAAAGTGTCGAGCTGGCTCACTCATGGCTTTAAACAGAATTTGTATCCCACACTCCAAAGTGCTCTGTTTATTCCATTACACCACGACATCCTACCCTCAGTGCTTGGTTTGTTGCTCTTTGTATTATATCATCAAGTCTATTTTTAATTCCTGCCCATTTATTTCAATTCCATGTGAAGTTATTTCTTGAATAACTTCACACCGGTAAAGTGAATACCTTTAAAAACATATGCAGAGAAAACAAACAATTCCAATGTTTCCTTTGGATTCACTTTTTGCAATAGTGGCAAGGAAAACAAACCAAAAAAAAACCTCCCCTTTATCTTGAGGTACAACGAAAAAACCCTGCAGAACCAGACTCAGGGAGGGCGGCCATCTGCCTTGACTGGTTGGGATGAGAGGAAGAGAACAAGATAGCTGATCGAGAGCAGACAAACAGGGCATAAAAGAACAGTGAACACTTTGGAGGTTGGTCAACCTCTGCAGATCAGAGACATATAGCTCCAGATTTATGTATACAAGCAGAGAGGATGAAACACAAACCATGGGAGAGAGAAGACACAAAGTTAGTGGCATATAAATGCACAGATAGAGACAAAGGAGAGAGTGGAGGAGAGGTGCTCAGTGCAGTTTTAAGCCTAATCATCAAAGCAGAGAGTTTGTCTGCCCAAACTGGGAGCTGATTTCACAGTAAGCGTAGCTGAAACCTCTGCTTGTAATTCTGTATTTGGAAACTCTGAGAGTGAATTGCTTTCTTGGGATAATATAATACAATACGGTCTTTGCAATACTACACTGTTGCCCATAAAGTTGGCATAAAATGTTTTTTTATCTCTTCCCATGACATGATTGTGACAGTGTGATTTTTTCTTGATAGATAAAGTGTGTATCTTCTCAAAACTTTATTAATATCACAATAGACATACAATACATATCGCAGTAAAAATTTAACCACAACTAACTTTTGCAAACTGTGTATTCAGGCTTAAACTAAGTTGTGGGTATTGAACAAATAGATTAAGGGTTTTGTTTCAATTTTTCAACCTTGTTTTGGGGTTTGACTGTAATTAGTTCCAGTTGTATGGTGTCTTGGTTGGGGTTGGGGTCTTGTATTGTTTTCTTGCCTCTGTGATGCCATGATTGTCCTTACCTGCTCACAGTTACCTCCCTGGTGTATTTAGCTTTGTGCTTCTCCCATTGTCTTTGTCAGGTCATTACTCACTTCCTGGTCCACTTTCCCTGATCTATGTGTATTCTTCATGTTTCTCTTAAGTTTTTTTGGGCCTCTTCCTTTTTTGTTCTTTAAATTGAATTTGTTGGACTTTTGATTGACTATTTGGTTGAAGTATTACATCTGGATCTCCATCTGCTTTTTTTTTTTTTTGTCCTGCCAGGCTTTGTACATCCCACCTGTAACTTTTTGTTTATTTTGCCTGTTTGCGTTTGGGTCCGACTTTTGAACAGAACCCAACAGTAAGGGTTGGGTGCAATCCTTGAAGCCTTCAAGAGTGAAAGTGTTTCACAGCTTAAGCTTAAGCTGGAGGATATTGTTGATTTTGAGAGCACTGTTTCCCAAGTCTTTTGCGAATGGATATTCTGGGCACAGCAGAGACTGGTCAACTATAGCAAACTTTAGGAAAATGTTGCAAGCCAATCCTAACCTGTTTTGTAGCTTTCATGTTGGGTTCAGCAATCGGCCTGCTGGCCTCCTGCTCCTGAGTCAGCTTACCAACAGCCTGATTGCCCCAAGTCAATTAGTGCTTTCTTAGTCAGCTTGCTTCCTGCCTGCCCCTGCCTCTGTGTTGGCTAACCTCTGGTTTGCCAGCAATGAGTATAATGACCTCTACTTTGCTAGTCTGCAACCTACCCGCCCCAACATACCATCCATCCATCTATGCACCGCTTGATCCTCAATAGGGTCGCGAGGGACACTGAAGTCTATCCCAGCTGACTCAAGGCGAAGGCAGGTGACACCTGGACAGGTTGTCACTCTATCACTGGGCTTCACAGAGAGACAACCAAGCACACTCACATCCACACCTATGGACGATTTAGATTCCCCAATTAATCTCAGCATGTTTTGGACTGTGGGAGGAAGCTGGAGTACCGTCGGTGAGAACGCTGCACAGGGAGAACATGCAAACTCCACGCAGAAAGATCCCAGGCGTCCTAACTAAGATGCGAACTGGGGATCTTCTAGGTGAAGGTGCTAACTACTGAGTCACCGTGCAGCCCCAAAGCGTACCTTCCATACTGATAGCAGCCAACCAGGTAGCATCTGGCCTGCTAGCCATTAACAACATGACCAACACCAAGTCTGCTTCTGAGTTGGTCACCACCTCTCCTACACCTGAGCCAGCCAGCCTGTTCCAAAGTTTTCTCCTGCACTCAGCCAACATCACTCCTGCTCCTGGACTAGCTGATGCCCCTCCTGTTCCCAAGTTTATTTCCAGGTCAATCGACACATCTTCTATTGCTGGGTCATCTGATGTTTCATTTGTTCGTGAGCGTGTGGTTTAATCGGACTCTCCTGTAACTGGGTTGACTGATGTCTCTACTGTTCCAGAGTCTGTTCCCAAGTCTGAGTCGGCCATTACCTCTCTTGTTCCCAAGCCGGTTTCTGTGTCAGAGAAGGCTGACATTTCTACTGTTCCTGAGTATGCACCTGAGTTGACTGATGCCATGCCATTTCCATGGTTTACTATTGCAATTAGTTGTTGCTCTCGAGTCACATTCCTTCTGTTATTTAGTCAGTCGGTTGACATTTCCCTAGTTCCTGAGTCTGTCTGCAACAAAGAAGAGCAAAAAGACTTTCCCTGAGTGAGCAGATGATTCCTTTGTTTCTAACTCTGATGAGTGACCTGTTCTTGAGTTAGAGTCAGATGACATTTCTCCTGTTATTGGGGCTGTTCTTGAGTTTGATGCAGCTAGCATACCTCTAGTTTCTGAAATTGTTCCTGAATATGAGTCACCTGACAAATGTCTGTATTGAGTCTCCATGGCAGCCCTGTTTGTTTGCTTTGTTGCCAGGCTCTGCCTAAAAGATTTTCATTTAGTGTTGTCCTTCTTCAAGAACCTCCCTACACTACACTACACGCTGATTTTTTGAAGGGACATGTGAGAGTACTGTTAATTCCTAAAACCATACCAAATATAGATTATATAATCAAATACAGAAATCAGCTGTAAACTAGAAACACAACCAAATCTACACAACCCCATCCAAATCGAGAACAGACATCCAAATACAGAAGAGTATGCAAATATAAAAAACACAACCAAACACAACAATGCTACAAATTTAGAAAACCCTTTCAAATACAGAAATACATTGCAATTGAACAAAGAGCAACCACAGGGGGTTTGAACCTGAACACTACCCCTGGAGATGTGCACATCTGTGGTTGGTTAGATGTTGATGTGAATTTTCCTCCAAAACTGTGGCAGAATATATGAATTTTAAACATAAGGCTGATTAACTTCTGGGGGGGTGATTTTAATCAGGTGTTTGATATTTTCCTAGACAGATCTGGTTCTGGTGTTGTTAGACCACCAAGAATTTTGGAATCCATAATCCATATTTTTTTCTTTTGCTGCTTGTCCCAACATTTCACAAACCAAACAATACTTTCTGGTTAGCTTCAACCTGGCTGACAAGTACCTCAAGTTCAGTTTCCAAAAAGTTCCTCTTTGTTGCCCTCTTTGTCATGATAATGAAAGGTGAAGAGGGGGAAAAAATCCACTTGTTTTATAAAGAGGCGTGTTGTTGCCGTACATGGTGATTTGGAGGCGTTTCTGAAGGCAACGTACACGAACACAGTGGTTAAGAACAAGTGGGATTTATAGCACTGATGACTTACTGATGTGCGTACGACACTTGTACACATGTTTGATAAATACACATTTTTTTGTGTTCACACACTAAATTTCATTCATACGACAGAATTTAGAACATTTTCTACGTACTGATGATAAATGAGGCCCCTGGTTTGAAAGGTGCATTGCAGTGAAGTGGTGTAATTTTCTGAACTTACCAGAGTCTCTTGCACATCTCCTTTTATTTACCTTTATCCACTTAAACAGCTTTCACACAGGACGCACTGCGCTTGCTGTGGGTTTCAGCGCACAGCTCCTGAGGAGTCGCAGATTAGTGAGATTTCAGAAATTCCAGTGGGGCAATGTCACCGTCATCTCAAGCAAAAAGCTTTCAGTTTGATGCAAACACTTCAACAGCGAAGATGTAATTGTCCCATGTTAAGTAGCAAGCATTACTACTAGCCTTGCCAGTACGCAGCAATCGTTAGCACCGGTTAATTAAATTAAAATTTTTGTACATAGCGCCAATTCACAATATGTCATCTCATAGCACTTCACATAGCAAGGTAAAGACTTCACACCATGTCCTTGCGATTATGAAAACTTTTTCTCCCCGAGTCTCAATACAACTAGAAAGTTGTATCATGTAATTCAGAAAATTCAGTCACACAGCACTGGCTCTTCCTTCACTTTGCATTTCATGCAGGCGAGATGCCTCGTTTCTATTGGCCATGCAGTCCAATGTCATACCGCGCAGTGGTCAAAATTCAACCAATTTGACACGACGAGCACACAGTCTCTCTGACCTTCGTGCTACACTATTCTTCTTCTCTCCTCGCTTTGCACAGCAACAGCAAGATGATTGGGTTTCAGAGCGCGGCGGCGCCGGTTCTTCTGTGTGAAAAACCATTCGTCATTGTGTCAACATTACTGGTGATTATTTATCAAAAATGGTTTGAGCTGTCAGTAAAGGTCACAGCTTCTTACAGCTGAAGTATAGCTGCAGTGTGAGTGTGATGTTTCACATATGTGGGGATAGTATCACTATCAGCTTTCATTACACAAATTCCGTAATAATACTGTGCACCCCAGTTTAATGTCAGGAAGGTATGAGAAGGTAGAAGAAAACAGAGGGTAAGTAAATCCATGAAAAACCCGTCCACATAGGGGACGAGGACATGTAAAATGGTTAACTGAAAACTTCATGGAGAGTTCAGATAATTCAAGGAGGATTTTATTACGTATTCTGCACCAATGACACTCAATAATCAACTGTTGTGCTATGCATACACACTCAAGTCTGTGCTTGACATTGTTACTCTTTTGTTGTACGAACATGTTGCATGCCATTCCACTAGGGGGCTCTGTCACTCCTGTAGCGCATTTTATTGTTCAAGAAAAGAAACCAGGTTGCCGGCAGTTATCACGATGTAGTTGAATGTGGCAGTGGCTACATAAATTCTTGTGAACTAAACATGGAGTTACCTTTCGCACTAACAGCCATGGCCACCTCTGCCCGATTTAAAGGTGCAAAAAATATATTAACATTTTGCACATTCAAGAGGTGTATTTCTAATGTACCTGCAGTGTTATTCTTTTGCCCCTGTACAGTACAATACTGGACATTTTTAATGTTAAGTATTATGATTTTACTAATTATGTCTTGTGTGTGCATTTGTGTGTTTGTAGGTCTTTCTACTCTTCAAGTAATACTGGACACTGCAGCAGAGAAGAAATGGGTCGTCACAGCAATAAATGTAGGAAACCTAAAAGATGAAAGAAAAGATGAAGCCTACCGCTCCCTGTTTCAGGTACTGATATTCCATTCTTACACAGCACTGCAGGATACATAAAAACAGACACTATAAGACAAAAGGTGGTTAATCTCACCCACTAACGGAGGCTCAGTGATGACAGTTGGATCATTTTGTGATGCGTGTGTCATTTTATTAATTTAAGTTTTGTTGAAATCTATTTGTAATTAGCTACAAGGAAACTGTGCTATGGCACAGGTCAATACTTATGAATTACAAGCCAAGTAATTTCATACCAGCATCACTAGAAAATGTCGTTTTTCTGTTTTTGTATCGTAAACTCTGATAGGACGTTGAGCATTTTGTTTGAAAATCTGGGGTGTGCTAGAAATACGAAAGAGTTTTATACTTAGTACCAAATTACAAAGCTTATTGAGATATTACAGCTACATATCAGTTTCTGTATAGCAGGTTAATATGATACTTTTTGTGAAATAAAGCTTTACCAGTTTGCTGCTGCCCGCAGATGACAAGATGACAAGTCCAGTAATTTGTTGGAGACTCCTAAGCTGATTTGCCAGTAGTGTGCATTACAATAGCACGATAAAACAGAGAGAAGCTTACAAAAATGCATGTCACAAACTACCACACTGAAAATTTCAAGTTTCAAGGCAGTCAAGATTTTTTAAATTTTATTATTTATTTATTTTAAATGTGAGTTAGCCATTTTAATAAAAGCTCTAGATTCCCTGCCTGCAAATGTTCCATCAAAACAATTTCACTCATCACTCTTTTGAGGGAGCTCTGAAACCATCCACAACTACTGTGATTGGTATAAAGAAATTCAAGCAGGGCAGAGCATTTCTAACAGAATGATAATGAAGCGGCTAAGCGAAACTACCAAAATAGCAAAACTACCTGGTACAGGTCAGAAATGAATGTCATTGCACCTCAGGAAAATACCACGTATTATTTTCAGGGTTATGTTTCAACTGCAGGGCTGCACAAAATTAAAGACTATGAGACTATAGACATGCTTATCTGCTTTTCAGGACCTGGAGATCCGTAAGGAGCGACGCATCATCCTGGACTGTGAACAAGACAAAGTCAAAGACATCATGGAACAGGTTGATTCCAGTCTCATTACTAATCCATACTAGGGCTGGTCTGAATAGCAATTTCTGATATTCGGATATGTATTCGAACCAACGACCGGTGGGGGGCAAAGTGAATATTAAAATTGCTGTCTGGATGCCACCACAATGACCGAATATTTGGATATTCGGATATTGTGGTCCAGACCTAATTCATACTACCAGTATAAGTCAGCCAAAAGGGGAAATAATGAGGGGAGAATGGTAAGAATACCAGTAAGTTTCTTGTCTGCTACCTCCTCTGTATTAAGTTTATCATTTCTGTAACGCATTTGCTATCATCTGCCACATTATTACATCTATCCACAGTGAGGAAAAAAAAACTGCCTCTGTCGTATATCACATATGTCACATACAATACCAGTCCAACCATCTTCAAAGAGTTCCCACATATGCTGGGCACTTTGTGGCCAAGTTCTTGCTCCAAGGGAATCCAAATGAAACTTGGGATTTGTCAGGTATCTGTTTTAAATTTGTAAGGTGTTTACCCTCCTATGTGAAGTGCTATGGGATGACATCTGTTGTGAATTTCCACTATATAAATACAATTGAATTGAACTGAATTGAATTGAATTGGTGACTGGTGTCCTGTCGAAAATAGGGAAAATAAAGAATAGTTACATAAATAAAAATACACTCTTGGAAGAGGTGTGTCCAAACTTTTGACTGGTACTGTATGTATCTCAGAAATTTGTGAAGTTTTGATCAACTGCAGCATGAACATATAGACAGTGGTTTTCACAGAACAACACGAGGCTGGCAAATGTTTGAAAAGTACAGCAATGACTTTTCTGAGCATTTATATTGAACTGTTGTGCTTTATTAGTGATACACCTTGTTGTCTTTCCCCATTAGGTGATCACTATCGGCAGGCATGTCAAGGGATACCACTACATCATCGCAAACTTGGTGAGCAATTTTCCCATTTCTAGATTAGCCTGACCAAATGTATAATGCATGTATAATAATATATGACTGAAAAATAACAGTATATTTAAAATTCCAGTTATTTTATAAGAACTTAGACTGAGGTTCAACAACATATTTACAGTAGATAGCGGAGCAAGCAGTCACATTCATACAAGCTGCCACAGGAGGAAGAGGTAATCAGGCAGCATGTGATAGAGGAGAGGCCACTGAACTAATCATTTGTCAAAAGTACATTCTATTCTTTGTTGAAATTTGTTCTTTGTTGTTGATATTGTTTCAGGGTTTTGTGGATGGTGACCTCTCGAAAATCCAGTATGGAGGTGCGAATGTGTCTGGTTTTCAGATAGTAGATTTTGATGATCCCGTGGTGGCAAAGTTCGACCAACGATGGGAGGCTTTGGAAGAAAAGGAGTATCCTGGTGCTGATACACGGATCAGAGTAAGATTTAGACATTCAACATTACTTCCTATGGTAGTTTAAATGAGTATGTGTTGTTTTAGGAAACAGAATATGCTGTGTGATGATGACTGAAAACACTCAGATCGTACACGAATCCTTGGAGGTAGCCCATGGTTCAGGGCAGCAAAATTATGCTACTACTGAGTAACAAAAGAAAGTAAAATTAAAGTTAAAAAGTAATAGTACAAAAATTAATAGCATAGGGCCAGAGTTGTACTTTTCATGTTTGCAAGTACACAAGGTAGGCCAAAATTGTCTTCAGTGCACCATCACAATACAAGAACAAACTGTGCTTTCGCAAAATGTTTAGATTTACTGTACATGTGTAAAACAGAGTGCTCAAATTAGACACCGTTAGAAAGTAGTATAAGGCCAATGTTATATTTTCCACATTTGCAAGTACACCAGTGTCCACAAGGGTCGATGTGACATATATTTCGACATCTTTCCAAGTCCACAAGAGTTTGTGCTGCTCAAAAAATTGTGTACACAGAAAGTTTGCACACAAAGTCCACTGTAAACAGAAAGACTTCTGTTTAAAGTGCAACACGTGAAGACCATGAATGTGTCAATTTGTATCAGGTTCAGAACATCTAACAAAGCTACACCTTATTTCTCAATAATGTGTCCAAGGGGGATCATGTATAATGACAATAGAATAGGTCCCAAAACTGACCCCTGTGGGACACCATATTTGGCGGAGGAAAATGATGATGCATGGTGTTTTGGTGGATACACAGAACTTCCTGTTTGACAGATGAGATGAAAACCAGGCTAAAGCTGTCCCAGATATCCCTACCCACTGCATCAGTTCATCCAGCAGGATGCTGTAAGCCACAGTGTCAAGACTGCACTGAGGTCCGACGGCACCAAGACTGGGCACATGGCGTCATCAGTGGCCATTAAAAGATCACTGGTTACTCTGAGCAATGCTGTCTCGGTGGTGTGGAACCTCTGGAATCCAGAGTGAAACTTAAAAAAAAAAAAGTTTTCTAATGCAGCTAAAAGTTGATGACAGACGATTTATTTCAAATTTTTTTGACATTAAATGTTTGGAAATGGGTATGTAGTTTGAGGAGATGATTGTGTTGCTTTGAAGGAAACAAGCTCAGAAAAATAGCTTGTTATGGCAAGCTTGACCCAACTGTTATATTACACTAGTAAGTCTTTCATAATGTTGTGTATTTAGAGATCAGACTTCTTCCATCTGTGCTCTGCTTTTCTGCATTCCCTTTTACAGCTGTAAATGTTGTTGTTGGAACAGGACTTAGATCTGACCTTAAGAAGTCCATTAAGATTGAATTAATTACATTTTGAATTAAAACAGTCAGTTAAATGATTAGTGTTTGGATGTTCAGATTGGAATACACTCTGCTTATCAAATGCGGTGCAGAGCTTTGAGGCATTTTGCTCATTAAAAGGGCAACCATATGTGGAGCAGGGAGTGATGCTGTTAAAAATGCCAAACCGCAGCTAAAAACTATACATTGCGGGTCTGATATGGTCATTTCCAGTAATTCCACTGATGCTATGTACTCATTTGTTGTCTCTGTCTCTGTGTCTTTCAGTATACCTCAGCCCTTACCTATGATGCTGTCCATGTGATGACTGAGGCATTCCGCTTCCTGCACAAACAGAGAATAGACATGAGTCGTCGTGGAAACAGTGGAGACTGTCTGGCCAATCCAGCAGTTCCCTGGTCACAGGGGGTGGAGATTGAACGTGCCCTCAAACAGGTAACTGTCCAGGACAAATCAGGAGAGGACCCAGATGCAGACATGAGAGGCAGGCAAGTGAAAGTAACAAAAAAAAATGTTATCCTCTGATGCAGAGGGCCACATTAAAACAAGGCAAGGCACAGGAGTCGTCACTCAAATGCATGCCCACATTGTAGGTAGATAAGTTGAGCTCATGGTCATCATGATTACAAAAACGATTGCCTCTGTGATCATTTTTCAGCATTGTGAAATAAAAAACGTAACGCTCTGTCAGAGTTATATGACACTTAAACTGAAAACTTGTAAATCGTTGACTTAAACTTGGCACCTGGGTCATATTTGTCTCACATGCATGGTCTTACAGGTATATGAAAGAATGCTTTCTCATTGGATGCTGCAGTTTACGCTGTTTAATGCAGCACTCTTTGTTATCTGAGCACTTGCTTTACATAAAAAGAACTGTTGTATTTTTAAACCTAAAATAAACCTAATCAAATATGGACATAACTTTATTGTGTATTTTCATCCTGTTTCACAACTGACTCTCAAATCCTAACCAGCAGATGTACGCTAAAAAGAGAAAGAGATTTTTGGGGCATAGGGACATTTTATGTAAAATAATTACACTTGTGTAATTACTTGTTTTGCAAAATCAGATCAGAGAGGGAGCCTGAAATCCAAGGATGTTTCCTTTGCCATTTTTATTATGTAACAGTTATTATTCAACAATTATTAACAATAGCATTATTTTTTTCAGTACATACTTCAAGTAATGTGATGTGTGTGTAGGTGCGTGTAGATGGTTTAACAGGGAACATTCAGTTTGACCAGTATGGAAAGAGGGTCAACTACTCGGTGACAATCATGGAGCTAAAGAACAATGGACCTGTTAAGGTGAGTGAAGAATCAATTTGCAGAAATTAATACTATCATTGTATGTAGCAATTTGGAAGATACATACATATACATTCCACTCTGTATGTGTGTTTTCTTAGATTGGTTATTGGAACGAGGTGGACAAGATGGTGGTGACAAAGTCAGACCTTTACCCTAATGACACGATGGGAATGGAAAACAAGACGGTCATCGTTACAACTATACTGGTAACACATGAATGCAGAGAATTTTTCACAATTCCACCCAATATGAAGGTCCAGACCAAGCGAGAAAAACAAAAGGATGCAAGCTATTTTTGCAAGGATTTTTTTTTTTTCAATTTGTCAAACTATTGTCAATTGCTGTAGGAAGTCCCATGGCTTATTGATCAATGACATTTCTTTTCAACATGTTTCTAAAGTTCTGTTTAGTCATTGTCTGTTTATTCATGTTGTTACCGATGGACAATGAAGCTTTTATCATAAGTTACAAAGTAAGAGTGGAGGTCAGAAACATACCCATGGGATTAATAAATGGAAAACCTGTATTTTCTGCACCTCGAAAGGCAGAGTAACAAAATTGTGAGTGAGTTAACAGATTTTGTTGGTAATATGGAAAGCACACAACCACATGAAGAAAAGCATTTCATATGTCATGTTATTAATATCTGTGATAAAACATTAAACATGATTGTGTTTGTGTATATAGGAAGCGCCCTACGTTATGCTAAAGAAGAACGCTGAACTGTTTCAAGACAATGACCAGTATGAGGGTATGTCATGTTACATACTATAAGTGTGTTTTTGTGTGTAATGATATTTTTTAGTTTTAATTTACATATTTCTGCTTATGTGTTAAAACGCCGGAGAAGATACTCTACAGTCTTATTTCAGACCTGTAGTATTTCCATATTTAAATTATTTAACATTAAAAACAAAAATCTCTTATTCGCATCAGTACCCACAAATTAAAATGGCTGGAATTCTTTACAATTCTCACATGCAACACACAAACTATTGAAAGAGTTCACCACTGCTGATGGCTTTCTTTATTCGTATGTTTGTTTGTTTTTTTCAAACTGATGCTAGGTTACTGTGTTGACCTGGCTGCGGAAATCGCAAAGCATTGTGGCATACGCTACCAGCTAAGGATTGTGGGAGATGGCAAATATGGAGCAAGAGATGCTGAAACCAAGATCTGGAATGGTATGGTTGGAGAGCTGGTGTATGGGGTAAGATTTTGAAATCACACACACACACACACACACACACACACAATGATATTTGAGGACAATTCAGTATTGCATTGGTGAGGAATGGGGAGCAATCAGACAGTGTGCCAATATGTGATGTAAACGTTTACAGGAAGGTGGACAGGGAGATTATATGTACAGTTGAAACCAGACGTTTACATGCACTGTATAAAATGACATAAAACCTTTTTTTTCTCCCTGTCTGTCATTAAATCAGACTAAACTTTTCCTGTTTTAGTTCAGTTAGGATTACCAGAATTATGTCTATTTGCTAATTGCAAGAATAATGAAGTAAAGATTGTTTTTTGAGAATTTTTGACAACTTTTTTCAATGTCAGAAGTTTATATACACGAAGATCACTATGCCTTCAAACTATTTAGAAAGCAGAGATGATGATGATGATGTCATGGCTTTGGAAGCTTTTGATAGGTTAATTGACAATATTTGAGTTAATTGGAGGCACACCTCAAACACACTGCTTCCTTTTGTGACAACATGGAAAATCTAAAGAAATCAGCCAAGATATCAGGAAGAGAGTTGTGGACCTCCACAAGTCTGGTTCATGCTTCCACATGCCTGAAGGTTCCACGTCCACCTGTTCAAACAATTACACTCATGTATAAACACCTTGAGAAAGTCCAGCCACCATACCACTCAGGAAGGAGACGGGTTCTGTGTCCCATAGATGAAATGTTTTGGTGAGAAATGTGCATATTAACCCCAGAACAAAAGCAAAAGACCTTGCGAAGATACTGCTGAAGCTGGTGTGTATGATTTTATTTGGGATCACAGCTTCATCATATCAAGATCATATCACACTGTAAATGCAATATATAAAAGTGAAATTAACATGTTTTCAGGAAATGTGAAAAGCAAATTATCAAAACTAATGTAACTTGTTTAAACACAAAACAAACAAAAGGTTTTTTTGGTCAGCAGCAGTGGCAGTAAATGAAGTCCATGGATCAACAGGTGTTGTAGTGGTAAACATGCAAAAAAAAAGAGAGGACACATGGTCAGTGTCAGCTGTAGGAAGGGTCTGTTATCTCAACCAGGAGTCCAGGTGAAACTGATGAATTCACATCCCTCCTTTGCCTGTCATATATTTGCCGAGCATGACAATGCAAGAGGCGTCACATCAGATATAGAAAAAATATTAAAATGTCATAATTGAATTTTTTTTCTTCTTTCCAGCAACCAACACATGTCCATGAAGAGGTCACATTGTTAAACACTGTCACATTGTCTTTGTTCTCAAACAGAAAGCAGACATAGCAGTTGCACCACTGACCATCACTCTTGTTCGGGAAGAGGTGATAGATTTCTCCAAACCCTTCATGTCTTTGGGAATCTCCATCATGATTAAGAAGCCGCAGAAGTCCAAACCAGGAGTCTTCTCTTTTCTGGACCCACTGGCCTATGAAATCTGGATGTGCATTGTCTTTGCCTACATAGGAGTTAGTGTTGTACTCTTCCTGGTAAGTAAGCCTGTCTATTTGTATTGATGTGCTTTGTATTCACTCTCATGGGTGGTCTACTGTAACCATGGCTGTCAGGGGTTGTAAATATTGATGTGTTAAGAACATGCATCAATATTGTTAAGAAGTGTTAAGAACATGCATCAATATTGTTAAGAAGTGTTAAGAACATGCATCAATATTGTTAAGAAGTGTTAAGAACATGCATCAATACTGAATTGAATCCTTGAATCCTTGAATTATATCTGAATAAATTTTTGGTCCAGGCAATACATATATGGATCATTTTCTGTTGAAGGCACACTTAAAATGTGTGTGTGCTATAACATGGACATGAAATAGACAACATCACATGAAAATGTTGTGTCTTTGAGAATCTGGGCTTGCATTTCATCATATAACCCAGGTACAATGTTTTAGCTAATCAATACACAAGGCTCCCACAGTCTAACCGCTCTCTCATTGCATCATTTAAATATTTAAAGGATGTAGTGTCTGCTTCACACTTAAATCTAAGGCATCTGGGAACCTCGATAACTTGTCATACGATTATACACCTAATTTCATAGTAACGTCAGGCTACAAATGCTGTACAAAACAAAGCAACCTCATTGAAACTGACACAGTTGTCATCACATTACCCAACTGTGATCAAATGATGACGGGTGGTCGTATGTGTAGATTAGATGGTAACAGCCATCCATGTTTAACGATATTCTCTGGTGTCAAATATAAATGTCTTACTTGATTTTTCTTTGGTCTGCTGACTCATAGTTGATTATCTTTGATCCTTTGCACGGCGATGCTGTGAATGCTATGATCTTGTGCGTAAAATAGTCTGATCTTTCTTAGTGTCACTCGTTCTGTTTGCCAGTCCTTGCTGTTTCACTAAAGTAGTGATCTGTACAGCTGTCACATGGGATGTCACATACAACTGCAGTCTTCTTCTTTTTCTATTTTTACCCCAGAAATATCTAGGATATGCTGGACAGTATATCTTGCTGCAAAATTCCACACTGGGTGGTGGCACTCAGTGCCTGAAACCAGACACAATGACCCAAAACTGTATCTGCCTGGTTTACTGTCACAACAAAATGACAAAGGTGCAGATAATTTCAGGTTTAGTTCAGATCTTTCTTTAATATTGGGGGTCTCTGAAGTCAACAAGTCTGCAGACAAGGATGTATTTGAGGCTACTGTTGGAATTAGATTTTTACCAACTAACTGAAGAAGCCTCTTGGATGGGAGGTGAAATGTATTCAAGAGTCTAAAAGAGAAGTTCTACTGAGGATCCGAGGAAAACAATTGTGCATTTTGTTTTTTTCCTAGATTTTTTACAGGTCTTCACATAGATAGTCTGTGCTGTCAAAAATACACATACAGCAAATCTAATATTTGGTTTGATTTTCACCTTACTTATGGGCTCTTGGTAGCTATCTACAAGTTTCTGGTAAGCTTGCGGTTGTATCTTTGACTGCTCCTCTTGACAGAATTGGTACAGTTCAACTAAATTTGTTCTGACAGACGTGTTTCTTTAGCACAGTCCACAGGTTCTTGATGGGCTTTCAGTCAGGACTTTGGGGAGATCAGTTTAAAACCTTAATTCTAGGCTGACTTAGCCATTTATTTGCCACTTTGATGTGTGTTATGTTGTTGGAACAGCATTTGTGACCCAGACTTCTAGGTCATGATTTTAGGTTGTCGAGGTTAATTGGTGATTCTAAACTGTCCGTAGGTGTGAATGTGGGTGTGCTTGGTTTTCCGTCTCTAAGTGTCCCTGAGAGGTTGGACATGAACCAGCAGAGGGCAGATCCTGAGATTCCAAGCGCAGTGACTGTGAAGACGAGGATTTGGTGGTTAACTGTGTCAAAGGCAGCTGACAGATCAAACAGCAATAGAGATGAAGGCTGTCCAGCAGCTCAAGCAGATTGCAGTGATTCTGTTACAGATATTCAGACAAAAACCACACTGATTCGGCTCATACCGATTGTTGTTAGAGAGGAAAGTAGAGACTTAGATGAAGACAGTTCGCGCAAGGATTTTAGACAGGAAGGGCAGGAGTGAAATTGGTCTGTAGTTTTGAGGACTGTTAAGGTAGAACAGTACTATTTAGGTGCAGACCATTTACCATAAGTGCGGTCCATAGGCATGCTGAGTGCTGTAATAATGCGTATGAATGGAAAGTTGAAGGAACAGGTAAAAAAAGATGCACAAGCAACAGCCTTGACAGGATTGCAAAACTGATGCAAGAACTCGAGGGCTTCATAAAGAGTTGACTAAGGCTGGTGTCAGTTCACCAAGAGCCACCAAGTCCAGACGTCTTCAGGAGCTACAGTTGTCTCATCCCTAATGTCCAGTCACTCCCAACCAAGTGGCAATGTCTTAAGCATTTTACCCGGGCTAAGGAGAACAAGAAGTGAACTCTTGCTTAGTAGTCAAAAGTCCTCTTTTTAGATGAAAATAAAATTTGCTTTTTATTTGGAAATCAAGGTCTGGAGGAAGAGTAGGAAGGTACAGAATCCAAGGTGTTTCAAGTCGTGTGAAGCCTCTGCAGTCTGATGATTTTTAGATGCCATGTCATCTCTCTGTTGCTTGTTTATTTCTTAAATAGCATACAAATGCCTCACTGGAATATTTCAGTTCCTATAAAAAGAGTGTTGGAAATCTAAAATATGATATTTCTATTGACATGGAAATGTTATGCTGCTTTAGGTATCCAGGTTCAGCCCTTATGAGTGGACGCTAGAGGAGCCCGAGGATGGAGCGTTGCCACTGACAACTGAATCCACCAATGAGTTTGGAATCTTTAACTCTCTTTGGTTCTCATTGGGTGCCTTCATGCGACAGGGTTGTGACATCTCACCAAGGTTGGTATTTCAGTTAAGCTACGACTCTTCACTCCAGATTGGTGTTGATACTGTCAGTGGTGCCACTCTGGATGTGTAGTTAATATTTAGTTTGTTATTATGCACTCCCTGAGTAGTTTATCAGGAACATCATACTAGTACTGGGCAGGACCTTCCTTTTTTCATAGTGCCAGGCCTTGATGGCAGGGACTCAACAGAGATGCTGGAAAGATATTTTTGAAATTTTGCTCTGTATTGTAGTATTATCACATCACATGGTTTCTGTAGCTTTGACTCCTGTGAACATCTGAAAGGAATGTTTCTAGCACATTTATGCTGCCAACTTCCAGTTTTCCCACATCTCAAAGGTGTTCCACTGGGTTCAAATCAGATTGCAACACTAAATTTGACTGCACTGAAATGCATTGTCCTGTGCATGAAACCAGTCTGAGATAACACTTTGTGGTGGTAGCCATTAGAAGATGGTAGACAGAGGCCATAAAGGGATGCACATGGTCAGCAACTACACTCAAATAGGCAGTGATATTCAAAAACCCTGATTGATTGGTTCTAAGCAGTTCTAGGTGTAACAAAAGAACATTCTCTATAGCATTACAACACCACCAACAATTTAGACTGTTAACAGATGTGTTCTATTTCCATACAGTGCTTAACAAATTTATTAGACCAATACCCAATGTGCGTTTTTTGCCAGAGCTGCCATACTTAACAGTATTGGTAATTACCAAAATATTTTTTTATGCTTCTGTAATGGTTCACATGGAATGTTCTACAAATATATTTAATTTATTTCTGGTATGTAAAGATGGAGAAACCCATCGTGACATCACCAAAAGGTATGCTGAAGAGTGGTTTAGAAGTTAATTGTGATAGCTCCACCTAACGCCTGGCTAATCCAAAAAATAAACAAAAAAGTGGAGGTAGGTTGTGTAAATGGCTCTGGGGCTGTTCTGTGATGGTACCCACCTCGCACTGAAGGTGGCCACACTCTTAGTTTCAGTTATGCATAACCTTAAGCACTCCAACAGGGTAAGTTCTTACAAAATTCACCCACCGCAGAGTTGACATGAATGGGGAAATTACCTACCGAGAACGAAAGCGTAGTTTGTGCCAGACGTTTTGACTTACTTTCAGAGCCAGCCTGAAGTGGACATTCAAAGAACTGCAGTTTTTCACACTTTAATGTTGGCTTCATTTTTCTGTCCCAGAGGTTGTTGCTTGATGAAATGTTACCATTTTGCATTAGCAGTGACCATTTTTGTAGAAACTGCATGAAATGTAATTGTATCCATCCTTTATTTATCCAGGACACTGAGGTACAAAATCTCTTCTCCCAGAGAGTGCTGCTCAAGATGTCGCCACAATTTCACAAATTTCAGTTTCACATAAAAAAAAATATTTTTACATTAAAATGCAAATAATCTGTGAAAGTCAACAGAAAGAAAATAGTTAAAGAAGAAGGACGTACAGGCCATTAGAGCAGTATCCATAACACATTTCATCTCAATTAAGGATTATGTAAAGCCGCAAGATGTTTCTTCAGGCCAGTCTTTAAAGGGATTTTAAAGGTATTAAGAGGGAGTGTTTGTAAGTTAATAGTGTTTTGCAGCTTATTCCATGCCCAGGGTGATGTTTTTTTAAATAAAATAATTGACATCTGGCATAGTACTGCTGACATAATTAAGCAATACCAAAAGAAGATGTGTGCAGGCAGTATAGTTTGTCATTTACAATAATTTAGCCATTGAAAAAAAAATAAAAACACTGGAACTTTGTGTCTCTTTATTGCCACGGAGGGAAGGAGCTTGAGGGGAGGGGCAAGGAGCGAGTAATTTACATATCATTTACATATCACCGCCACAGTGCCCTGTGTTCACAACGATGGACTGTATTTTTACTGCAATGGTGGATTGTGGAGCCTCCCAATAGTTCATGGAAGATTGCAGCAAGTACTAACAGCACAACATAGGAAACCAATTCCAGTGCACGTTTACAAGGTAAGACGTTTAAAGAATATGATAGAGGGGAGAGGTGATGAAATTAGATTATCCGTTTTAAAGGGCAAACTAGTAAAGTAGAGTCAGTGTTGCTGGTAGATAGATAGATAGATAGATAGATAGATAGATAGATAGATAGATAGATAGATAGATAGACAAGTAATCATACTAAACGCCTTTTCTATTATAGTGTTATATTAATAATTGTGATCGTTTATATTAACAATCTGTGTTTGTATTTTCGAATGGATTGTGTATTTTTTTTCTTGTTTTGCCTGTAAAGTACATTGTAAACTTGTTTTTAAAAAGTGCTGTATAGTAGTGCTGTACAGAAGCAAAGGCTGTTGATGATCACAATTAATGAAGTTCAGTAGCTTAAGTTTGGGAAACTCCTT